AGTTAGCTGTTAGCTGCCTTAAAGTTGGCAAAACTTAATGTAGCAGAAGCTAATTGGTCTGCTAACAGTATTAGTGAAATAACTTTTCTGCTAAACAAAAAATTTGTTCTATTAGCTGATTAGCGACCCACACCCACCTAGTTATACCTGTGCTAGTTAGCTGTTAGCAGACTTAAAGGTGGCAAAACCCAATTTAGCTGAAACTAACTGTCTGCTAATGGTTTTCAAAATTAGGGAAAAAGCTAATTTGCTATATGAAAAACTAATTCTATTAGCTGTTAGCTGATTAGCTGAACCATGCCGAACTATTTAAATATAGCTAACGCTTTATACATGCACTAGTTAGCTGTTAGCAGATTTAAAGTTGGCAAAACCTAATTTAGTGGAAGCTAATCGGTTCGCTAACATTGTTCAAAGTTAATAACAAGGCTAATCCGCTAATCTAGTCCCGCTGTTAGCTGATTAGCGACCCACTCCCACCCAGCTGTGCTAGTTAGCTGTTAGCGAACTTAAAGGTGACAAAACCCAATTTAGCTTAAACTAACTGGTCTGCTAATGGATTTCAACGTTAGGGAAAAAGCTAATTTGCTATATGAAAAGCTAATTCTATTAGCTGTTAGCTGATTAGCTGAACCTTGCCCAACTATTTATACATAGTACCATTTTTATACATGCGCTGGTTAGCTGTTAGCAGGTTTAAAGTTGGCAAAACCTAATTTAGTGGAGGCTAATTGGTCCAATAACATTTTTATAAAGTTAATAAAAAGGCTAACCTGCTAATCTAGTCCTACTGTTAACTGGTTAGCGGAACCACAACCACCTAGGTGTGTTAGTTACCTGGTAGCGGTCTTAAAGTTGGCAAAGCCCAGTTTAGCCAAAACTTATTGGTAGCGGTTAGCTAATGGTTTTCAAAGTTAGTGAAAAGGCTAATCAGCTATATGAAAAATTCTGTTTGCTGTTAGCTGATTAGCAGAACCATGCTGAACTATTTATACATAGCTAACATTTTATATGTGCACTAGTTAGCTGTTAGCAGATTTAAAG